CCTTGAAAGGTTTTAATGGGAGACCGAGATACCTCCAATGCCTTAGACACTCATCTTTCAGGGGCTGAAACAAACAAAAAACGGCCACGTTTTATTTGCTGTATTCTTTGTTCTTCCTTCATGAAGGAGGTGCCCCGACCATGAACGTTCCCCAAGGTGGTGCCTGCATGGTACCCTGCATGGCACCCTGCATGGCACCCTGCATGGCACCCTGCGTACCCCTTGCCCTCTACCCCTGCTTTGCACGTAGGGATCATCCAGAAAGTGCCGTTACGAAAGTTCCAAGTTTCGCCCGGTTTGCAAGGTGTCGTAGCCCTTGATAGGAAGGCAACATCTTCCTTCAGTGCATGCCTGTACCGTGGGGTGGCCTACCCAGAGTCTCACAGGCGCCGAGCTCTCAATATAATTTGCCGAATGAGCCAGAGCCCTGCATCCAGGCAGCCTGGGATGCCTACATGGCGTCCGAAAGCGAATCTTAGTGGGAGGGAGCTATGGCCCGGCGCGAGCTTCTCGCTCCCACAACCGCTTTCGGACGCCATGTAGGCATCCGATGCTCGCTCGATGCAGGGCTCTGGAATGAGCCTGAGTAAAAACGGGCGCACTTTCTGGGCGATCCGTAAGGCGCTCAGAGCAGGCCGCCTACTCCGCACAGCTGCTCGACGGGTTGGCCTACCCGGCGCGTTGCAGGCGCTATCGATAGAGCATTCAAAGCTGTCAGAGCGCTTGCATTTGCTCTGGATCGCTTCGCTCGCACTCTTTGGAAAATCAGAAGTCTTTCGCCGAGATGCCCTCATTGCCTCCTCGTCCTGCCCTGTCAACGGCGGGGGCACGTTCGTCGTATTTCTGACATGCATGTTGCTGTTGTTCCTTGTTCCAACAGTGGGCGGCCGAGACCATGGAGCAGCTTCCGGACGACGTCCTGGTGCAAGTGATGCAGTACCTGTCGGTGGACGACGTGCTCGCCTGCCGTCTCGTGTGCAGGAGGTTCGAGGGACCGTCCATGTTCCGCGAGGTATGGCACCGTCGCCGGCTCGTCGACGACCAGAGGCCCTGCGTGTGCGCGGCGCTGCGCCTGGCGCCGAGCCTCGAGGCGGTGCTGTGCAGCGGCCACACCTCGGCGTTCCTCGCGACCCACTGCGCCGTAGCCGAGTTGATTCTGGTCGTGGAGAAGGACATCCACCCCGACATGTACGCCCAGGTAGTCCACAACCAGGAGGCGCTCGGACGTCTGAGGCGTGTGGAGGTCCGGTACGCTCCGGGCGCACAGCTTGGGGACCGTGCCGACCCCGACCCGTTGTCGGTGACTTTGGTGCGGTCTTCTTGCCTGGAGTCCCTCGTGTTTCCTAAACACGTGCCTTACGCGCCGAGCCCCATCCCACACAAGCACAGGCCGGCCAGGTCGTCCTTGAAGATTTTCAAATGCTGCCTTAACGAGGTCAACGAATACTTCGTGGACGCCGTGCTGGCCGGACACGCTCCCACCCTGGAGGAGGTTGACCTTGACGGTGGCTTCCCCTTCGCACTCGGTACGGCTAAGCTGTTGGCCAGCATGCCCAAACTCGAAAGGTTGAAGTGTGATATGATTAGAGACCTGGAGGCTGTAGCAGCTTGCAAGACCCTCAAGGACATGACCCTCTGCATAGCCTCTGACTACTACCCTTACTTTTTAAGTGAGGGCGCGGCGGAATTCCTTCGCCGGGCCAACCACCTGCACACACTCTCCATCGACTTCAATTTCGGCGACATCGATTCCGGCGATCGGAGTCTGTTGTTAGGCGCCTTGGCATCATCCGGAGGGTCCCTTGAGCGGCTGTCAGTTGCCCTCCTCGACGAGGACGAGCTGCAGCCCCTGATCGACATGCTCCCCCGGCTGCCCGCCCTCCGGCTGTTGAGCATATCGGTGGACTGTGATCTGCTGGACGCCGAGGCGCTGGCGGGCATCACGCCCGCTACGGCCCCAGCTCTGCGGAGGCTCGAGTTGCTGGAAGCAGGGCCGCAATTCTGCTGCTGCCTACACGAATGGCTGCACGACGGCGATGGGAACGCAGTCAAAATTCTCGACGCCAACCCTTCGCTCCACATACACATAACGGAACCAATTGCCTGTAAACGCCGCAGGTGCGATGCATGTGCACAGGGCTGCCACCGACAAGCAGAGTGGAACGAACGTGGCCGACTTGTCCTCTTTGCGCATGACCCTGACGATTGTTCCTCTCCTGAGGACCACACTGCTGACAGCACCTGGACGTGTGTTCAGATTCGTTCCACCCCTGATTAATGTCGATAGTTTTCTGATTTCCTAATAGTTTTCCTTCGCGGTCTCGTGAGACTTGTTAAATAATTTATTGGGCTTTATATATGCTGTGTTAACTTTATTTCTTATCTTAAATAATAAAAAGATGTACAAATTAGTGGTAGAGTAACAACTTCCCTAAATTATTGTACTGCATGTTTGACTGTCGGTTGATTTTCTCTGGGGTCTGGGGTGTTTAGGGTGAGGCTGTGATATGAAGTTAATGTACTGAAAAGTACACTTATGTTTAGGCTGTGCTTTGATTAAATATCATATGGATACTTGCTTATTACTGTATTTTTAACAGTCTTCGACAGTCTCCACGTTGTGTCGCGTGCCCAGAGTTAAATAAGAACCAACATCGAGGACTGTAACAAACAGGGACTGTGACAGTCTGGCCTGCAGCCCAGATCAGCCTAGTCTACCCCTTTTGTACCGGGTGTAGAACTGTGAATACGCAGCAGTGTTGCGGGATTGCATACTCAAATGGCCGCAGGGGCCATGGCCCCTTACGGGTGCAAATAGTAGGCAAACCCGCAACACTGCTGCGCATTCATAGTTACCCCCGGGACCCCTTTTCCACCGCTCCATGGCGCGACATAGGAGATGGGGTTATCCCGGTTATCCGCAGGTGGCTCTTCCTGGCGGCCGTAGCGGCCGTCATGAGAGAGGGAGGGAGTGGACGCTCAAGGTGGACGTCACTGACCGAGCTCACTCAGTGAACCAAATACGTTCGTTTTCCCCGTGTTCCCGCGTAACGAATTATCGTTCAAGTTTTTGTGGCTTGAGAAAAAATTTCTCTTTGACCGAGATTCGAACCGCCGACCTTTGAGTCTCTGGTGCCGCACTGAACGAGCGCGGCTACGACGCCACGATGCTTGGATCGAGATTTGTTTCTCTCTCTGGGCACAAAATTTCGAGAGGACTTCGAACCCGTCATTTTACCAGGCGTGATGGAGGGGCCGTTTACAAATCACGTCACTAGTTTGGGCGGGGGGGGGGGTAGCCGCATTTGTGACTATTTGTGGCAACTCGGCTCTAAAACCGGCGTTCGCCTCGAGCAGGACCGTGATCTGTACAAAATACGTCACACTTTTTGGGGGGGGAGGGGGTTTTGGTCATTGGCGATATATGGATGACGTATGGGGGTGAGGGGGTCAGAGGAGTCGTGAAGTACTGTTAAAACGGCGGAAGTTCTGTTTCTATTGTTCACGCATTTTCTGACTCTACACTTTCTTTTCCCGAAAACCTGACGTCACGGAAGCGGGAGGGGAGGGGGGTGGGGCTGGGGGTGGGGCTTCACCTGTTGGGTGATTTAAAGGGGGAGGGGAGGAGGAGGTCGAAAATAGCGTGACGTATTTTGTGCACGGTCCTTCGATGACAGCAAAAGCGGGCCGTGGGAGATCCCTGGATTCCGAGCTGCACGAAAAGCGGTTGTAAGCGGTCCCCTTTTCCTGGCACCTTGCTGTGGTAGCGGGGTGCGTTTAGAAGACCTTTTACGACACCGAGCGAATTTATTGTTGCAGTCAGTTCGAGTAAAACTGCCCGAGGCCGTGTCGGTTGTAGCTACACATGTGTAGATACAAACAGGGGCGGGAGGAAGCGCCTGTCAGGGCGGGCCGCCGTCTCGGCACAGCTGCTTGGCGGGTTGGCCTACCCAGTACGTGGCAGGCGCTATCGTTGGTGTCGGCTATTTAAACGGCGGGAGCCCGTTCCCTCTTAACAAAGTACCACTAAAGCGTCGATCACCTTTAAAATCAATTACCTATAAAAAAAGGTTGTGTCCAGTCAAGGTCCAGTATCTCTAAATCTTTTACCTCGCCGGTGGAAAGGCTTGAAACTCCGATTCGCTGGTCCCCGACCCGACGCGTTTACGAACTCGGCTGACAGACCACACTTATCGCACATCCTCTAGAACACAATGTTTTGAACGCAATATACGCCTTGGCCTCCTATCCTTAACTCGGCGTATATCGTATTCAAAACATTCAAAAGCTCCCGCTAAGAACGTTCCAGGAAAATTGTCATCCTTAATCGATGGCCAGTTAGTTTTTCATACTTACGTCAACACAGCCTGTCAACATCAACAACAACAAAAGCTCGAACGAGCAGAAACCTCAAGGCAGCCTAAAGCGAAGTTGAAGATGAAACGAATATTTTAACTACCCTGAGGAAGGCCCAGCCCCCCAGCCCAGCCGTTTACGTTTTAGCTGAGCGTGAGAGGAATCGCATCAAAGCGATATCTATCAATATCTTATAAAATGGGGGCGCGAGTTGTGCCCATAGTGAATCCCGAAGTGCGCTACGAACACCTTGGAGAAGAGCCATAGTATGTTTTCCTCTCTATTTATGACGATCCCAAAAATGTATCTCTTTGTTGTTAAAGTTCTGCTGTAATTTCTTGTGTGTATAGATTATATCCATCAGTTCCTAGTACTATCTCTGTTTCTTCTTTATCAGGGTCATTGGTTTTGATTGTGCTAATATTTCTTTTTGTGACACTATTCCAGCAAAATAAAAACAGCATACAAACAGCTGTTCCTGTTTGGTTTTGGGCTGTCGCTCGTGATATTTTTGATTCTTGTGACTGCGTACAATGGTTGGGAAGACATCTTTGCCCCATCAGAGAAACCTGAGAAGAATGATAATCTTGACTTCATGATGTATGGGCCAGTGAGGTCGGAACTTGGTGAGTATGATTTTGAGTGAGTGCTTATTTGTTCTAGACCAGCATTATTTGGGAGGAGGGAAGGATATTCCTATACTTTGTGAAAGCTGAGTAGCTCCATAGAAAAACACTAACTGAAAGGGATATTGTATGAATACTTCTAATTTTATTTTCCCTTTTTTCCTGGCAAGATCTTTTTGATCAATGCTTTTTCCAAACTGTTCTGTTGAGTCTTTACCGTCTCATTGTCTTTGTGTAACATTATTTATTCTTTTGAAACAATGAACAGGTGTACAAGGAATCCAAGAGCGCCGAGCTGATCTGTATGCCAAAGCGTTCAATAAAAAACATAAGTTTTTAATGAAACCACCAAACAGTAGTTATTCTAAGACAGAGGAAGAACAGTTGCTTACCAATAGCCCATATGTTTGGTCTACTCCTGAACCAGATGGGTTCAAACTGGTTTGCTATTATGCAATTCCACCAAACTTAACAGTAACTGATGATAAAACACTTATGCCCAATGATTTGGATGCTGATCTTTGTACTCATATAAATTTGGCATTTGCAAGTGTTGCAAATAACAGTTTAGTACCTTCAAACCCCGATGATGTTGAGGTAAGGTACAACTTTAATCAGTAAATTTTCATGTGGGTACTTTTCTGCACTTTGTATAATTGATCTTTCTTAATCACTCATAGACCTATGATGAAGTTGTTAAGTTGAAGAAACAAAACCCTAAGCTGAAGGTGCTACTTTCTGTCAATGGGGACATGTCTCAAGTGGTTCAAGACCATATTACTCGCAAGACATTCATCAAATCTTCTCTAGATGTTTTAAGAAAACATAACTTTGATGGCTTAGACATTGACTGGGAATTTCCTGATGATGCTTGGAAATTTATGACCCTCCTAGCTGAGTTTCGCCAAGCATTTGGAGATCGTTACCTGTTGACTGCAGCTGTAGCTGCCCCTCAAGTCATTGTTGATATATCCTACAAAATAAATGTGATGTCAAGGTATACAATTCCTTCTATGTATTTTGATATTTTGTATTATTTTCCTCTTTTATAATGTGATGCTAATGATGCATTTATATTGTATTCCTTTCATTCTAGATTTGTTGATTGGGTGAACCTTATGACGTATGACTTTCATTTTTACACAAGATTCACGCCATTTACTGGACTGAATGCTCCTCTGTATAAGAGCCAAAAGGATAAGGGTTACTTCTCACAGTTGAATACCAATTGGTCTGTTCATTATTGGGAAGACCAAGGAATGCCTCGCAACAAGATAGTTGTTGGTGTCCCTACTTATGGGCACACTTTTAAGTATGTACCATTTTTATTGAGATCCATTGGTTACAATGCACATTTAATATTGTCTATCTCTGTTTGGTTTTAATCTCTAGGCTGCAAAACAAGAAAAATACTGGTCTCTTTGCTCCTTCTTGCAATTTTGGTGACCTAGGAGGAGGGGGTTTCATAGATTACCCTGATGTTTGTCGTTTCTTAACAACTGGTGCTGTGCAGACATTTGACCGTTCTTCTAGAGCTTCCTACGCCTACAAAAACAGGAATTGGATAGCTTTCGAAGATGAAAGAAGTGCAGCTTACAAGGTACTTCATTAGCTTTTAGATTTGTATGTTTTTTTAATGTATCTGGACAATCCAATCATTCATAATTGCTTAACTCTTGCAGGGTGAGTTCATCACCAGTCGAGGCTATGGTGGTGCTATGGTTTGGTCTTTGAATTCAGACGATTACAAGGGATTATGTTACAAGTCTGGGTTGAAGTTTCCACTGATAAGGAGACTCAAGATTGTTTTAACTGACGATATGCTGTAAAATATGAAAATATTTCCTCATTGCATTTTGAATCCCTCAAGGGTTATAACACTGCCCGTATGTAGTGAGGTAGGACTGTGTTACAGTAGATATGTATACTGATAATAAAGTTGGACTGACCGGCATTGGTGAAGGTAAGGAATATCACTGATGAAAGCTTCAGAAAGCTTGGGATTTGTTTAGAAGTGCATTTACTATTTCAGCATTTATGCCTTCTACTATGTGTTTTATTGCTAATAATTATTAGATGTTTGAACTATGCCCTACAATTACTTCACAAAAATGTATGGATGTGAATTGCAGAACTCTATGAACAGATGAAGAAATCATATTCCCTTTCTGTTTCAGTCCATTTGTTCTCACATTGCTTTAAAGAGTCCTTGAAGCTGCTTTCCGACCTCATACATACTTACATACATAGATAAGATGAGGTTCCCTTACTTAATTAGTATTATAACTTGTGATCCCTTCAGAATGTGTGTGCCAATCTTGTCTCACTTTTCATTTGGGGGAAAAAATGAAAAGAAAAGACTGCCAATTCGTTTACAAGTTGCAACTAAAATACCAATCGATGCCTTTTTATCAATTGGAAGCTATATCAAAAGATCATGTCTATTGTATGGTACTACATAGAGTTTTTTTTCTTTACATTTTTTTTTAAATTTTGTTATTTATTCCAAGTTTACTCTGCTGTTAACCTTGAAACTAAATACCTATGTGTGTATTTTAATTTGTTTGTTTTTTATTTTGTTATGGTACTATACAAATTTTAATCATGAGTTCACCTGGGAAATCATGTGTGTTACACTTTGTCATCACAGAATCTTTTCATCACACATTGGGTGATGCCTTGTTTCCTCTAACACAAATTAATACAATGTGTTAAGCAGTGTGCTGTGACTTTTGCAGTTCAATGTTGTCTTCTAAATGAAATGCACTGAATGTTTGATTGCTTCTAAATAGGAAATATCTTTATCGTTCAGTATTAGCTTACCGTAAGGTTGTGTTTGTTCCCAACAAATTGAACCATTTTGGGAATGTTGCTTATTTATGACTGAGCTAAAATGCTGAAGGATTAAATTTACCTATTTAACTATCGTCTTATGTAAGCTGTGAATGTGATCTAGTGTCCTTGATTTTTTTCAAATGGTATGTTCATTATACTGATGACACATTTGTAACACTTTTAGTAAGTGGGATGTGTGGTGAGATATGTACCCATATGGCTTTTTCTACCTGCGGTGCCATGCTGCACTTTGTGAGTTAGTTTGACTGGTGAGTGATGTTTACCTTCTCTTATTTCTTTTCAAGTCAAGGAAGGGACCATGTGACATCTCAGAATATGATTGTGTGGAAGAGTCATGCCCTACTTTGCAACAACTAGTTAAATTCATTTTGGTGCTACCGTACATTATTCCTGTGATCACTTCTGCATTCCATTTTGATTACTATTTCTATTATTTGGTCTCCCTGTATCCATTGTAGGTACCCCCTTTTTTAAAACTCAATCAATAGATTTGTGACTTGCCTTTCTGTTATTGCCATCTCAGGCATGCTAACAATTTCAATGTGTATTTAATGAAATAAAAGTAGCAACTCTTCAACCTCTGTCTGTTAAATTTCCATAATTTTGAAGTGTTTTACGGATTGGTCATTCATTATAGTTTTACTTTGGTTCAAAGTTTAAAGAAGACTATCTAGGCTTTCAGGCGAAGAGTTTTTTGTGAAACTCTTTGTCTTGATCCTCAGGCTGCGATTGTTATGCCAATCACCATTCACAAACCCTCTGAGAAGAATTGTCACTACTGACCATGAGAGGAGACGCCTTACCTCTCAAGACTAAATCCACCACTTCAAACAAATCCATCAGATGTTTACTTTCAGTTTTCTACTATATTTTACACATACAATACTGTTTCATAATTTTCATTTACATCTTTTGCTCTTATTTTCCATATATTTACACACAACACAATCTACACTCATGCACAAAACAGATACACACACTCACTCACACACAATATTACAATCTCTTATCAAAAAATAAAAAATACAAACAGACAAACAAACAAAAAACAGATTAAAGTAAACAACATTTTTTACAAACATATACATAAATAATTCACTGCTGATTAAGGTTTCAAGAAAAACTACTACAACATATTTTAACGAAGAAAAGTACCTAATATTTTAGGTGGGTACAGGAAATTTTGGTTTGAAATGAAATTTTTTTCTACAATGTGAATCTCAACTAAAATTCGATGAAATACCTTCGTCACCTTAAACGTTCCCACCTGTTACAAAGAAAATAATAATATTAGACCTGCGGAGCTTGAATATTAAAAGTACAAGAAGAAATTAAAAAGCTCACCTATTGTATGAGCAGCAGACAACACAACTCGCTATTAAGGAAGCTATTCCAATAAAACAGGCTATGGCCAAAACCCAAAGCTGGATCCATGTTGCTTCTGCCTTAGCCAGAGTTGGTGCACAACGCTGCAACGCAGGAACGATAATATAACAGTGATCCATCAAAAGATTTTCTTTGGTAGACTTATTACTCGTCATACGTTTCACCAGAGACTTACCTGGACGGCTCTAACGTGGAAACGGTCGTACACGCTGTTCAGCTCATCGTTCTTTTTGTCGATCAGTAGTGACTCCATATCTGAAAGATCATAATTTTCTCGCCCGACCAGCTGGAAGCACGAGCTGAGAAGGAAATAAATATAGTAGAGTAAAAATTGACGAATGATAAATAATCTGATCTCATAAAGATGCCCCGTAATGAAAGTTCCTACTCGCGGCCACGGGAAACGTTATGCCCTCGCCACGGGCGCTCAGTGGGGGCGGGCCGCGGGCCGCCAGCTCCACACAGCTGTTCGGTGGGTTAGCCTACCTCATGGCAGTTGCTCCACGGAGTAAGGCTCACACAAAGCGACGAGGAAATCGCTACACTTTTCCACGATAGGGACAAACGTTTTTTCTCGCATCGCCTTGTGTTCTAATCGCTTCATATCCGGGTATCTAAAAGTCTTTCTAAACTCACCTGGTACTGCTGAAGTCCAGGCTGCCGTCTTGCTTGGCGTAGAATTGGGTGTCGTACACATTCAGTTGAACGGGTAGCAGAAGCGCCTTCTCAACGAGCCGCTGAAATTCGGGCAGTGCTCGCCTTACGTCAGCAGGGGCCTTGCTGAACACGAACTTGAGGAGCGCTCGGTCCCGTACCACGAACACCTGTTGACAAAAGCATGGTGTAAGGAGGGGCCCTAACATAAAGTCGGGTGAACGCTATGAATGCCTCCCACCGGGCCCGCACTCACCTTGACGGTGGCGTTCGCCCTGCGGCTGCTGCTGTTGCCCTCGGGTGTGTTGCTGGCCGCCACGCTGAGCGTGAAGTAGCCGTCAACAAACTGCTGCATGCCGGCCGCGGTCCGAAGCTCCCCGCTGTCGGCGTCCAGCCTGAACACGCCCTGCACCTGCTCGACCGCGGCCGCGGTGCTGGCCGCAGGGCCGTGGCCGGCGCGCCCGCGCCCTCGCCCGGCCGGGACAGCGGCGGGGTGCATGGGGTGGAAGGTGGCGCCGGCGAGCCAGTAGTGCATGGGCGCCGAGTCGGCGTCGGCGTCCTCGGCCTCCAGCGTAAGCAGGGACGTGTCGACCGGCACGTTCAGCCGCACGCCCAGCGTCTGGTTGGCCTTACCCGCCGGGAATGTCGGCGCGTTGTCGTCGATATCGCGCACCTGCACGCGCACCTGTCGCTCCGACGGGTCCTGGGAGAAAGAGAGCAAGCGGGGGCGGTTATTACAGTGAGCGAGTGAATGTATGCCACTCGGGTCCGGGGCTCGGGGCCCGGCTTGGGTCCGGTCTGTACTTACCTGGCGGTTGTACGGCTTGCGCATGCTCTGCGGCCGCGCGCTCTTCTTGAAGCACTTGACCGTCAGCAGATGCTCGGCGGCCTCCTCGCGGTCCAGGCGGCGCGCCACGCGGATCACCGCCCCGTTTTCCGGCGTCCGGCTGATCGAGAAGAGGTCGTGCTCGTTGCCGTCTGAAACACAAAGTGGCGTGTGTGTTAGTAGAGCTCGATGGATTCTCGAGTACTCCCAGCAGCTGCTCTTTAATTTTCTCACAAGTGATGACGTAGTCGATAAGCGCGTTGTCCCCAATGTCGTTGTCCACAGCTGTGAGGTTGCCGACGACGGAGCCGACCGGGAGCTCCTCCTGCACGGTCATGACCATGGGGCTCTCGTCGACGGAGCGCTTGAACACGGGCTTGTGGTCGTCCACGTCGGTGACGTGCACGGTGAGGAGGCGGGTCGTCTGCTGGGGCACCGGGCCTTTGTCCGCCGCCACCAGCAGCAGCATGAACTGGGCCTTGGTCTCCCGGTCCAGCAGCGTGCGGGTGGTGATGAGACCGGAGGACGGATCTGTGCGGGCAGCGAACAGGGAGCTCGTGAGACTGATCTATCAGCTGGCACATGAACTTTGCATTCATATGGCACTTTGCAAAGCACTTCAGAAGTTTGCAAAAGCATTATTATTGTTTATATGCAAATAATTGCTTCGAAATCTACAAAGCATCTAAATCCTTGACAAATTTATTACATCAGCTTTCAAATGATTTATTTGCAAGAATTTAACTTCCTGTTGACGAGGAGGGTGTTTCACGGGTACTCACTGATGCTGAAGTGCGACGCGTCGCTGCCCGTCATGCCGTCCTCGAGGAAGCGGTACACCAGCATGCCCTCGGGGGTCTTGGGGTCGTCTGGGTCAGCAGCCACCACCCTAAACACTGGCGAGCCGATGGATGCGTTCTGGAAGCAGATGGCGCAATTGGTAAGCGTGTAATTTTGGCAACAACTTGGGAAAAATACGGACAGGCAAAGCCCAACGAGTCTGTATTTTTACCTCGGACACGTAGGCCACCTCGTCCAGGGCGGGGTGAACGAAACTCGGCACGCCGTCGTTGCTAACAACGTCCCCGATGTGCACGCTGACGGATGCGTCGGCAGACAGCGGCGGGTTGCCGCTGTCCTGGGCACGCACCGTGAGCGAGTAGGGTTCGCGGCGGCCTTTGCCCGTCAGCGGGGTTGCGATGCGCAGCTCGCCGGAGGACGTGTCGATGGAGAACAGGCCGTTGGCCTCGCCCTGGTCCACCAGCTCGTAGGCCACCTCGGCGCCCGCGCCCTCGTCCGGGTCCGAGGCCGACACGCTGAGGACGCTGCTGCCCACGGCCATGTTCTCCGGGATGACGGTGGAATACGAGCGCTTGGAGAACTGCGGCGCGTTGTCATTCACGTCCAGGATGTCGATGGTCACGGCCGCCTGGCTGCGCCGCTGCGCCGCGCCGCCGCCCGGGGTGTCGGCCGCGACCACAGTCAGCTTCATCTGCGCCTGGCGCTCGCGGTCCAGCGTGGCGTTGGGCGCCACCTGGATGCTGCCGGACAGCGGGTCGATGATGAAGGAGCGCGCGTTTTCTCCGGACAGCGAGTAACGCACGTCGCCGAAGCCGCGCGCCGCGCTGCTCCCTGCCGCGCTGTCGCCGTCGGTCGCGGACACGGCCAGGACGTGAGCGGGGAAGCGGGTGGACTCGAGCACGCTGGTGTGGTAGGTCTGGGGGCGGAGCGAAGGGTCAGAGAGTGGCACTGGTGACGGGGCACCGGGGTTCACATTCACACAACTGTACTCACGGTCTGCGCGAACTGCGGCGTGTGGTCGTTGGCGTCTTGCACCTGCACCTGGATGGTGGCGGTGCCGGTGCGTCGCTGATCCTCGCTCACGGCCTGCACCTTGAGCTCCATGACCTTGCTGCCGTCGGGCAGCGCGGGCAGCGTCTCGTAATCCAGGCGCCGCTCCAGCACCACGTTGCCGCGGGCGCTCACGCTCGCCCAGTCCGGCGCCGTGCCGTCGGGCTGCGCGGCCACCTGGAAGCGGCGGATGGGGCGGCCCCCTGCAGGAGAGAACGGAGCGTTATGTGGAGGCATCCGGTGCCCGGGTGGAGCATGTCACTCACCCAGGACAACGAGAGACCACGGTGTGGTTGGTGTTGGTGACGGTATGAGCATTAAAAGGTATTTCTGATGAAACATTCGCTAGACGGTGGACGGGGCACAGCAACCACATATTGTAAAAGGGTTGCCGCAAATATTCATTTTGGAGAGTCCCAAAGACCGTCTCTACCAGAAGAAGAAAACGAGCCCCCTTCCCCCCTCACCTATCGCTTCTCCTGCAGTTTCTGTATCGCACAACCCGGGCTCTTACCATCGGCAGGGTCCTGGGCGGCCAGCATGGCCAGCACGGTGCCGCGGGGCTGCTCCTCGGGTACGGTCACCTTGATGACGGGGCTGCCCGGGGTCCAGCCGTGCGCCGTGAAGATGGGGTTGCCATCGCTGAACTCCTCCACGTAGACGGTGGCCTCGGCGCGCGCCACCTGCGGCCTGGCGCCCTTGAGGTCGGTGCGCGCGTTGAGGTCGCGGGCCTGCACGGTCAGCGTGATCACGGCGGCCGCCTGGTGATCCAGGGGACCGTTGACGAACACCTCACCCGTGCTAGAGTTGATTCTGGAGAAAGGACGAGACACTGTGACCTCTATTCGAAACAAGGGAGCGCATATTTCAGAACGTGCACGTGCACTTACCTGAAGGCCTGCTTGTAGTCGTTGGCAGCATTCGGCGCCAGGGGCACTCCTGTCCGATCCATAGCCCGGATGGGCTCCACCAGGCTGTACTCCAGCTTCGCGTCCTCGTCAGGGTCTCGCGCCCTCGCCACCAGCACAGTTTGACCTGAACACGTATACGTCACACGTCACGCCTTGGCCTGCAGATGAGGATGACCTCTGACCTGCCTTGTACTCACCGGGCTGGGCGCGCTCCGACACGTGCCTCGTGAAGGCACCCGGGTCCCCAGTGTCGAACACGGGCGGCTTGTTGTTGACGTCCTTGATGGTGACCAGCACGGTGGCCGAGGCGGTCTCCCGCACTGGCAATCCGCTGTCCACGGCCAGCACCACGAGGGAGTACCGCGAAACCCCGCCAGCCTCGTCGGGGTCCAGGCGGGCCTCGGGGGCGACGGTGATCACGCCAGACCTGACAGAAGTACAGGTTTGAGATGGTTGGGGATTGGGGCTGGAGGCATATCTCTGGGTCGTCCAACACCACTCACTTGCTGTCGATGTTAAAGTTGTCCTTAGCGCCGCCGCCCGCCGCGATGCTGTACGTGATGAGCGAGTCCTGGCCGTCCGGGTCCGAGGCCGTCACCTGGAGCACCTCGGAGTTGGGAGCGGCGTCCTCGTGGACGGCGGCGTGGTACTGGTACTGCGACGCGTTGTGGCCCGCGCCCGGGCCGTGGCCCTTGAACACGGGCCGCTGGTTGCCGGGCACGCCCACCCGCACCGTGAGGCGCGCGTCGGCGTGCAGCTGCCGCGGCCGGCCCTGGTCCGTGGCGCGCACCGTCAGCTCGTACTGGCCGCGCTGCGTGTGCGACGCGCTCACGGGCCGCTGCATGCGCACCTCGCCCGAGGCCGCGTCCACGACCAGCACGTCGGCGGCGTTGGACGACGTCACGCTGTACGACACGCGGCCGTCGCCCTGCGTGGGGCCGTCTGCGTCGGTGGCCTGTGGAAGGACGTCGTGATGAGGGACAGTGATAACACCTGTGTACCCGAATACTAGACGGCTGATTCGGCCTGCCCGCTTCCATTGTCGGGCTACCTCGACAGCTTGCACAGTGCAGGCAGTACAAGGGCGGGGCAAATCAGCCTCCTCACCACAGCAGAGTGTGCCGGGGAGCAGGGAGAGCCACACTTACCCTGACGAACATCGACGGCTGGAAACTTGTGGCGCCCTCGCGCACGGTGCGTTGGTACTCCTGCTGCTCGAACGCCGGCGCGTTGTCGTTCTCGTCCAGCACGTCCACAAACACGTTGACGGTAGTGACCCTGCCGCCGCTGGGGCCGCCGTCACGCGCCTCGAGGCTAAGCGAGTAGGAGCGCTCGGACTCGTAGTCCAGCGGCTGGCGCACGTAAACGCCGCCCTGCTCGGGATGAGTTCGGAAGCGCTCCGCGCCGAAGCCCTTGAGCGAGTAGGTGATGCGCCCGAGGTCCCCGCTGTCCATGTCCGAGGCCGTGACATCGAGCACCTTGGTCCCTGGTGGAGAGGCCTCGGACGCGCGCGCGCGGTACTGGCTCTGGGCGAACACTGGCGAGTGGTCGTTGGCGTCCTGGAGGTCGACGACGACCCTCGTGCTGCCGAACTCTTCCTCGTCGCCCTAAAACAATAGCCGTCATCGTTGATGCCTGGAGCTGGTTATGATGCCCGCCTCGGCAACCCGTGCCTGCTCAACTCACCGTGTCGCCCTTCGCGTGCACCACCACGTCGAATTCGATCCTCCGGAGCGCGGGGTCATCCACGTCGTAGTCTAGTCCACGCTTGCTGCGCACCCTGATGACTACGGGCGTGCGGCCCTGGCCGCTGGTCGGGTGGACGCTGAACAGCCCCTCCGAATTGCTGACGTCGCGTAGCGACAGGGCGTACCGCGCGTTGTCGCCGATGTCCCCGTCGAGCACCACCATGTTGAGGCCGGGAAGCGGGCTGTCCACGGCTGCAAAAGGACAACATAAGGTCAACAAGAATTCGGAAAGTGATTTTTGCCAGAAACACGTGATGATGACTTACCTATATCCTCGGAAACGTTAATGTGAAAGTAGTCTTCGTTGAACTCGGGGAGCTGATCGTCGACGTCGGTGACGACCACCGTGACCTCGGACACGCTCCAGTCTGCGGGCAGCTCGTTGTTGATGAGCTCCGTGGCGCGCACCTTGAAGGTGTAGATGCCGCCGGACAGCATGAGGTCGCGGTGCTCGCGGTCGATCGGTATGTTGGTGGTGACGAGCCGGGCCGTGGACGCCCCCTCGGGACCCTCGCCTTCCTCGAGGGTGAAGTAGCCCAGGTCGTCCTCCTCGAGCGACAGGGCGACGGGTCGTGGGTCGCCCATGTCGCCGTCGCGCACCCGGATCACCGCCACCAGCGTGCCCTGCGGACATGGAGCGCCGTGACGGTAGGCAGCCCAACGTGCGTCGGGGGTTGGAGGGGTGGGCGAGGGGTCGTCGTGTCAGAGGCCGCCGCGGCGCGGCCAGAGCGGGCCAGAGGCACGATCAGGAGCACGACGCCGCGCCGGTGGGGAAAATGGCGGCCTTTGTCTGGACACGACGACGCCTCGCCTCACCGCGGCCGCTCTGCACGCCTCGCGCAGTCTGTATCCGAGAGTGCAATCATCATGTGAAAGGCGGGTGGGGCGGCGGGCGCAGCGTCACGCCTGTGCAACACAGCATACCCTGGAGGAGGGCGACCAGCAGCGGCCGCGCCCGCCCGCCCGATGTAGAACATACAGCTCGCCATGAAGAGTCGAGTCCGGCGCAGTCCGAGCGCTTCGTTAATACCCGGACGACCCAGACTGTCGAGCAAGTGGGGCGCGGAAGGCGCGAGGCTGGCTCTCTAGAACGCTGCTGCTACTCACGGGCGGCGAGTTCTCCGGGACGGTGGCCGAGTACGGCGCGTTGAGGAAGACGGGCGGCTGGTCCTGCACGTCGGTGACCTGGACGGCGACGCGCGCCGTGGAGGACAGGCGCTTGGAGGGGTCGGAGGCACCATCGGTGGCGCGGAGCTGCAGAGTGTAGGCGGAGCGCTGCTCGTAGTCCAGCGGCCGTTGCAGCGTCACGATGCCCCGGTACCGGCCCTCGCTCACCTGCAGCAAATTCACAGTTGTTTTTTACGGGTTTCACGCGCATTGTTATCACTGCGTAAAACGAACAGCTGATCCAGGCGGCCACCTCGGGCCGCGGTCCATGTAACGGACGCGCATGACTCATGGCAGCGTAACAAGTCCAAGAGTCCTCGCCTCGAGTAGGACTGACTGAAGGACAAAGAGCGGCACTGCATAGCATGTCAGTGTTTTTGCATCATCCATCACTTGGAGGGCTCGGCCCGGCTTGGCCTGGGCGGAGGGGGACGTTACGTGGCTGTCACAGGAGGGTGTGTGAGGGGAGGGGTGGGTGGCAGTGGCTGGACCAGCGCCGTTCGCGGACCGACCGATTAGCCGTCGGGCAATGGAACGTACCTTTTCGGTCTCCACCTTGAAGTGCTTGCAGGCGGTGTCTTCGGGGCCGCTCGGCACACACACGAGGGTGATGTCCGCGTTGAGGCCGCCGTCGGAGTCGCTCACCAGCACCTTGTCGAACAGCCTCGCGCCAACCTTGGTGGCCTCGGACACGCTGAAGGCGTACGGGCGTTCCCGGAACGTAGGGGCGTTGTCGTTGACGTCCAGAACGGGGATGTCCCTCCGCAGAGACACCGTGTTCGGCTCAGACCCGTCGAAACCCTCATCTAGGAGGCATTTCGTTCATGAGAGTAATGATAAGAATCAGAGATTACTAAGGTCCCGAAGAGGATGCACTCACCCGTGATGCTGATGATGACCTCGAGCAGGTCCTGCGCCTCCCTGTCCAGGGCCTTGCGCAGGCTCACCACGCCCGAGTTCTTGTCCACGGTGAAGTGCTCGCCGCTGATGGAGAAGCGCACGGCCGAGCCCTCGGGGTCCGTGCCTTGGAGGCGGTACACGGGCGCGCCGACGGGGGTGTCCTCGGGCAGCGAGAAGCGGCTCATGCTCCCCGCCGGCAGGAACTGCGGCGCGCGGTTGAGCTGCACCGCGGCCGCCCCGGGCAGCGCCGCCGGCAGCAGCAGCGCCCCCAGCAGCACGAGCAGGTGGTGCATGGCGGGGCGGAGGGCGCGCGCCTTTCCTCTATCCGGCCATGGCTGCAGTGGACAGCTCCTGCAATCACACCGAAGGACACGCTCAAGTTCAAGTACAGTACTGCAGTGGCAGAGCAAGGTCGGAAGCGGCGCTCACTCAACGGGATAACCAGTCAGCACACTTTAAAAACTTGTTGTGAAATGACAACACAGATCGTGCCAAGCGTGGTGGGCGACTAGGTTGCAAAATTGTTGACGACCCCAGTAATCGCTTATTAACACTTTATGTCGATACACTCGCCCTGTGATTAATGTTTATTTCGGTTTATTCGCAAGTTGCGTTAGGCGACACCTGTATGTCACTGCCACATGAGGGAGCCAAGCGGGTCTCGACATCCTGTCTGTGGGTCGCGGTCGCGCCAGTTCCTTGCCACCCGGGCTCGCCGCTGCCCTGGCTCAGCCCCGGCCAGCCCTGTGCACTTGCTCCCGTTCTACTTCCCCCGCCGCGCCACCCCGCCGCCGAGGAACAAGCCGCGCTTCCCACACGGGCCCCGCGCCGAGCCACGGCCGACACGCGGTTCTCAGCTTGTTTCTTTCGCGGTGCCGCGTTCAACGCTCCATGCAAAAAAGGAGGCAAAGCGAAAGGCAAAATGGCAAGTTCGTGAGCATGGTCTGAGGTCTGACCACCGCGAGAAGGGTAAAGGGAGAAGGGGGAGTGGCGAGGGGCAACTGGCAACGGCGGCGGCGGTGTCCTCTCGAGAGAACAAACCGCGCCGGGAAAACGACCGACTGGGAGAGGAAGCGAACGGTACTGGAAATAGGAAGTGTCCCGCGCCGGCCCGCCCGCCCGGTGCGGTCGGCCGGGTCAGGTGCTGAGGTCCCAGGGAGGGTCCCCACCGGATCCCCCACGTCATTCAATTACCCGTTCGATACGCCGAGTTCGACGGGAGTAGAGATGGGATCACGACGCACGGCCCTTTCTGTCGGCGGCTGCAGAGACTGATGCAGTCAATATTGTGAACGTCGGGACTCACACAACGGATTAGTCTGACGGCTCGCACCCCGGCCCGACCGGGGGCCCGGAGGTGTGATAGATCTGTGGCCATCACCTCTGTGACGGGGGCGGTGGAGCACAGAGAAAGCCGGGTGCCCTGCAGCCTTCTCCTCCTCCCGCCTCTTCCACCTCCCCCTGCTGCACTGACATTTCCAGAAACACTGACGACACATTGCGTGTCAGAGTATTCAACGTGTTTTCAATCCTTTTTCTTTATCCTAATTCTGGACTGAACCAACATCCTTTCTCCTCGTCCTTGTCTCCCCTCCTGCATCATCTCCTTTGCTCCATCGGGCCACTTGAAGAGCCTGTCCAGCGTGGCTCTCCCAATGGCGAGCACAGGCTGCACGAAGTCGGTCGTCGTCGGTGCCCATAAGAACACGAAACAAAACATGGAAAGGAAACCCAGAGGGAGGATGGACTTGGCTCTTGCTCTCGTCTCGTCGTTCTCGCGTCAGAGTCGGGCGCAGTGATGCTTCCAAAGAAATCTGTGAAATGTATAGAGTGCCCTAAAGCTAAACGCCCTTATGCCTTATAGCAACGTACCCGTACAGAAAGTTTCAAGCCTAGCCTGACCTGGTGGGCCCCCACGGCCCGCGAGAGGCGTGGCGCCGTCTGGCGCCTTGCGGGGCCCTCGGCGGTCGGCCCTCGGCGTGTCCGCGCAAGGCGCCCAGCGCTGGGCGCCAGGCGGCCGCGGGTGAAAGGTGAGGGGTGACGGCCGCGGCCCGCCCCAGCCCCACCTCGCGCCCACTCGGGGGCCGCCCATCGCGCCTTTGTAGTTTCCCTTTCGGTAGAGTGTGCGATTCGCAGCCCGCGGTCAGCTTGCCTGCGGTACTTGCCGTTGGAGCCTGACTGTGCCGTACCTTGGTCTACATGCGATCTAGCGGTACACACTCACACCAACACACAAACACACAACACACGCAGCCTTGGGCATGGGCGGGGCGGGCGGGGCGGTCCGCACCTTCGCTGGCCGCCGCGCTCTCTAGCCCCTGCGCCCGCTCACCGCGCCGCACACACACACATGGGCGCACGATCGAACTTTATACTGGATCTCCGGTGGTAATAACCGCCAACACATGCCCGGCGAGCTGCTCGGCTGAGTTAGCGATTAAAGCGGGAGATGGGGTGTGCTTCTGCCCCCTTCACATGATCATCACTCGGATCAGCTCGCGCGGAGAGCTTCGCGTCGGGCTTTGCACGCACGAGCCGCACGGCACTCGGGCCTGTCTCAGCAAGAACCGTCTAGTTTAGACTTCGGTGAAGGCGATCTGCCTGTAGAGACCCTTCCAGCAGGGCGGTGGAGCGTTTCTTACAGACACGGGACGCTTCATCACTGCCCGAGTGAGTCGTGCCGCACACTCGAGGCTGTGAGGTCCTCGGGGCCTTGGACTTGCGCCCTGCGTGCGGCACATAGATAGGTGAGTACCGAGGCCCGGGCGCTAAGTCGTGGGTAACGCGGGGCCGCTGACAGGCACGCATACTCAAGCAGCTCCCGGAGCGGCTCCGCGTCGACGGGCCTTTCTACTAATCAGAGGCTTTCTTGTTTTCAAAGACTCGAGGCGCTTCTTTTCGCTCCACAAGCATCTCGTACTTGTTCCTACGGTGCGCTCACGCCCCCTCCCCCGCCCCCTGTAAAAAATGATTCATGAAAAGGAGTGATTAATTTGAAGCGACAACAGCGGAGAGAGAACAAAGCAACTGGGTGTACTAAGTACTGTACCAACTGGCCACGGGTCTCCCTCTTTGGGCCGGTCGGTCCCGGTTCGGCCGGCCGCTCGGCCCAACCCCTTTGGGGACCCCCGCGGCCCCCGCGGCCCCCGCGGCCCCTACGCGGCTGCACGAGTGCGAGGCCCCCTAGCGGCCCGGGCCGTGTCTGGCCTGTAAGGTAACGGGACTCACCGGCGCGGCCGCCGTGCCGTCCGGGCCGGGCCGGGCCGGGCTTCTCGCGGCTCAACGGCTGGTCGGCCCCCCGACCCCGCCCCGCCCCCCACGCCGTCGTGGTGTTGACGGGTCGACGCGACGCAGGGACAGCGTTGTGTGTGTGTGTGTTTGTGTGTGCGTGTGCGTGTGCGCGCGTGTGATCCACTCGGATTCAGAAACATTGTTGCAACTCGTATTTAATTCGTAATTGTCCACGCTCCGTCTCTAAGAGTCCGGGCGGCGCGGTGTCACGGCGGCCCCGTCGTCGGCCCCTTTCTTTCTTTAAGGTGGACTGTACTGCAATGCAGGTGCGCGGGCGGGTTGCCTATCGTCTCCGGCGGCCCACCTGCCACCCGCAGCCAGCTTGTGCTGGATCCACTAACACCACTCAAAATATGCACCATGTTTGACAGTATCCGATTTGAGACGTGCATGTTTGGTTCTCTCTCAAGTCAAGTCACGCAAGTGTCTCGGTGCGAGCTGCAAGCTGAGTGTCTCTGCCCTAGGCTCAGCCGCTCAGCCGCCCCAGCCTCCAGCTCCGTGGGGACCGCGCGGCGCCGCCTAGGCCGGAGCCGGAAGGGCCCCGGCGTTCAATCGAGCAGGAATTCCTCGCGGAGCGAGCAGGTGGAAGGGGAAGTCGCCGCGACGCCGCGAGCGGGAGGGGGGGGGATGCGCCGCGGCGGCGGGCGGGGCGCGGCGCGGCGGGGTCGCTGACTCATTAGGCCGCATAGCTTGCCTCGCCGAACAGGTACACGCCCAAAGCAGTCGCGCGGCGCTGCGGGCGCAGCCACAAGAGCAAAGAGCGCCGGGCCCGGACCAAACCTAACCTCTTCACCTCACCGCAAAACTTTATCGATTCGTCGCTGGAAAGTAAATTAGGTTCGCCCGGTTCGGCCCAACGCCGCGTCAGTGCGGCGCACTGCGAAACCCTCCTCCTCCTAAGCGTCTCCCCCGCGGCCGCGATCATGTTCGCGGAAACTGAACCGGTTGCTTCGCGGTGTTGAACATTGCTGTTGCATTATGCACTCTGCTGCCCGGCCGGGCAGCGCTGAGCAGAGCAGGGCGGCTGCGGCTGAGCAGGGCGAGCAGGGGGCTTGGGCGGACTCCCGGACGCTCGCTCGCCACCACCAGCTCACCACAGCCAAGCTTGAGGCCGAGCCTCGCCGCCGCTCCCCGAGAGGGAATGTGATACCATCTGATCGCGACGCGACCCGCTGGGCTGGGCTGGGCTGGCGCGACACTCACGACGCCCACCACACCACCGCCGCCACGCCGCCGCCACCCGACCGGACCGGGCTGCCGCGAGCTCGGTCCAAAGGGAAACAACATGGAGTCACTGTTCAGTTCAACGCCACCCTTTCTCCGCTCGAGGCCGAGATCCTGGAGGGAATGGTGCCCTTCCCTGTGCCGCGCGAGAGTCTTTGGACGTCACACGTTTCGTGCGACGAGTTTTCCGCCCCCTCGTACGCCCCTTTCGTGTCTCTCGGACGGGCCCCCACCCCACGCCTGTCATGGGTGTTTTGCCAGTCATTAGCGGTCATGCCGCCGCGGCCCACGGGCAGCAGGCCAGCTGGCTCTACTAGTGGAGCTGAGCAGCCCCCTGCCGCCGGCCACACAGCGCAGCGCCTGCAGCGCCATACGCCGGCGCGGGGTGCAGCACTGGTCTGGTGCAGCGCGCACGAGCAAGGTCAGGCGACATGGGCAGACATGGGAAACGGGACACGTCCAGAGGACACGGCCGGCAGAGAGCCAGAGAAATGCGCTGCTTGCTGGAGAACTCCGCATGCACCTTTGTGCGCCGACCGGCCAGTGGGTACCTCGCAACCCGAACACTCTTAGTGAATCACACCATAAAACAACTACAGAAGTGGAAGGGCGTGTCACTAACAAGACCAAACAAGACAGATAAATAATTTGCAAAGTGATTAGTTCCTCCTTGCTTTCAGCCAACCTAGCAGAGCTTGATAAGGTGCACAGTTCAACGGAAGAACCACACCCCTTGCCCACCCTGGCGCCCACAGCCAGACAGACGTATGGAATGGAACCATGCAGCTTGCAGTCCCCCTATTTGAATTCCGCTATTTCTAAAAAGCAGAGGAATTCTTTTTAACATGGCATTTCACTGATGTCAAGCCGCCCCTCTTACCGGAGGGGGTTGCGGGGAGCCACGAGAGATGCTCTCTTGCGTCAGGAGCCAGGCTCAGCCCGCGGGCAGAGTGGGCGGGTAGTAGCCGGGTACTGGTACCCCGGCCGACGCCAGGCGGGGGAGAAAGATGAGCATTGCTGCGTAATGCAGGCAGAGGTTCAAGCTTACCGCCGGTAGGGCGCCGAGGAAAGTTTGCAACGCAAAAAATGTTACTTCATAGGTGCTGCTTTATTCTATCGAGGTATGTAAAAACCAGCTACAGTTCTTTGCAGTGTTTTTCAAAGGATTTGATTTCGGTTTGCGGTTTGATTCAAGAAAAAAAAATACAGCGATACATGAAACGCACACCTGAACCACCTTTTGCAGAAGGCCGCAGAGC